AGGATAGCAGAGGTCAAAATCTAGCCCAGAGACAGAGCTGTTGCAGATAAGAGCATATTTTTCCTATAGGAATCTTTCACTCATTAGAAGTTAAAGAAAGTTTTGGGAGAGCTTTAAACATGCACATCATTTTTAGCTGTTTCTAAATCTGACAGTTAAATATCCAAGCCTCATTCAACTCAGTTAAAGTATGGCTAACAGTTCTTGCATACTCTAAATAAAGTTCCTGCCTGTAACAAAGTTGCATACAACACTTTATTTGTAAACTTTATACTTTAAATACCTTATACCTTAATATTTAACACTGCCCCATTTCAAATAAAACTCCAGCCAACTTCATCAAAAGTTTCTTCACCCAGTGTCAGCAGGGTTTGGTCTTCCACAGCAGACATACACTCCACAGAAGTCTCTTAAGAAACATTGCGAGTGGCATGACTTACAGTCCCAGTGGTGGTAAATGGCTAATGTAGGATGACTTTTCAGGGAAGAGTGCCAAAGGGGATCAGGAAGCCTCCCCTGTGGCAAATAGACATAGAAGTAAACAGAAGCCTCTTGAACATGCTCTCTAGGATGTATTTTTGTTTCCTGTAAACTCAGGTTCGATCTTGCTCTTTCACACACACCCCTACTCTGTATTTACATTGCAAGTGTGAGTATCAGCATCATTAAACTTTGTTTTAGAAAACAAGAACATTAATCTCAAAACTGTGTCAACAAAATATGCCCGTTTGATTATTTCCCAACCCATCCAAAAAAAATAGGATATTATTATAACTATTACTCATGTCTGCAGTTTATAAATATGAAGGTTAATAAAGCCATTTCATTTCCTGCAAACAAGTCTAGATTGATCTGTCTTTCCAGTTTATCACAATCTCCCAGCTGTGTGAGATAATCTACATTAAGAAATGGTGTCCCTACGATTAATAGCAGTTTTACAGGCCACAAACATACCCATTAGATTTCACACTTTATCTGATAAATACATTTCAGGGGAGTAACTTTAGAGGGCAGGGAAAGTGTGCCACAATTGTAAAACTTGGTTATTAAATCCACTATTAAGTCCACTTAGTTATTAAATTCACTAAAAACCACCACAGCCTTTTGCCGCTGCATAAAAGCAATCTGGAGAACAGGCTCAGGTCCTCAGCCTAAAACCAAGAAGCTGGAACAGTAGCAAATGCAGAGAAAACCCAGACCATAACCCACCCAGCTGTGCATCATCCAGCCCTGCCTGGCACCCCAGCCTTGGATCATCAGGCACCTGAGAGAAGCAGCCTCAGAGCTGACAGCCTCAGACCTCCACAGCCCTCCTTCAGGCCATGGTCATATTACGCCCTGTTGGACCTTCATGACCAGCAATTCCCTTCACGAAAGCGTGGGCACTATCTGTACCGACATAGAGGTTTGGTTCCCGTTCAGCACCTAATGAACATCACCTGCACCCCCCATCACCTGCACCCCCCATCACCTGCACCCAGTTCCAAGCTACAGCTCCACCAGGAAAAGACGTTCTGGCATTCACCTCGAACTCCTGACCCCATTTGCCTGATCCAAAGGACTGCAAGAATCCAGTACCTGTCTCAAGCCCTTTGACAATACTTTGTAAATTGCAACGAAGCTGCTTATGGGGGGGGGGGGGGGAGACAAAACCAGCCTTGCTTTCCATCAAGTCAAGCAACAGGGGATGGATGCAAAATTAAGGTCACCTGCAGAGATGTGAGCAAACATGTATTAGGTACACTCGCCTCCACAGCTTCACTCTGCCATGCCATAAAAGGCAGGACAATGAGGAATTATGACTATCTGTGACTGCACATCTGTCTTATCTGCTAGTGATTCTCACAAGAGACAATACATGCCTGCAGGAGAGATCAAAGCTGGACTCTAAAACGTTTCAAGCTAGCTATACTGTACAATGCAGAACTTGCTATTCTATCTCCCCTATGCAGTTAATACACAATACTGACATCCACAAAATCCCTGCTGAAAAGACTTTGGCACATTTCAAAGCCAAGTAACAGCGTATGAAGAAGTTTCTGTGACACAACCCTGAAATACACAAGCTTTCTTCAAACTCACTAGCTTGTATATGGATAGTTCAGATAGAAAAACCCAAAGCACTTGCCTGGGTTGGTAGGCATTACTGCAAGGCAACATACTACACTGATGTGAAACAAAAGTGTCAGACTAAATTTACACAATTCAGCATTCTGCAAGAGAAAAATGGCTAAAGGGACAATGTAACACATCTGAAAGAAAAATTCTCTTTGCCCAAACTCATAGACACTAAAGTGAGGATTTGACTTAAATGAGACGTGCTGGATTTAAACTACTACATCTTCCCACCTGTGAGCGAGAGAGTCTGATCATGATAAATTACTTTCATAAATGCAGATCATCCTACTTTTTCATATCAAGTCTTCAGCATTTATTTTCATTATAGTAAATAACTGCACCTACGGGATCATTCTACAATTCAAGTGTTTGCATAAACCTGTTGCAAGTCAATGCACACATTCCCCAGGAGATTCACCACCAAGACAAAATAATTCTTTCTTCCAGCTAATGACAGTGATAGCCACCAGTTCCAGCTCCCTCATGAAACATTTAAACAGCTGTCTCCTGCCATCACTCTGGCATGAACTCCCCCATTCAGGAAAGCTGAGGATTTACATCGAAGTCACCACTGACGGCCCTTTCTCCATTACCTGCTCTGGCTACAGAACCATGAAACCAGAGACACAGATTGCAGCTAGGTAGATCAGCCATGCAGAACAGGAATAAAGGGGCCAGTAACGAGAACTACATTGTTTAAGGTTTCAAAATTTACCCTCAAACCTGGGACATGACTACAGCAGCACAGTTCAGTGGCAAAGAAAGGCTGATCCACAGTTTTTTTGAGAGCCTCCTGTCTCATCGGCTGACAACAGCTCATAGCCAAAAGGGCCAGGACACTTCCATGCACAGTAAGGGTGTACTTCCAGTCCCACACCCACACTTGCACTCTCAGGATTTAACCATTTGCAGAGGCAAGGCGGCAGCGTTCAGCTGTCACAGCAGAACAGCTCTTGGCCACCTCCTCCGAAGAGAAAGCAGCAGTTCAAAACCAGCAGCTTACAACTCCAGATGAGCATCTGCGCTCAGACAGAAGCTGTCCCTCAGATCAGAGGGGCTACTTACGTCAGAGCCACAAGAACCTGATCTACACAGAGATACTTGCACTTCTGTAGTAACTTCTACGTACAACACACAAGCCTCTCGCCACTCAAGCAGAGCACCAAGGAAGTTAAGGAGAAAGTAGTCAATTGTTTGCATCATGCATCAGCCAAAGCCATAGGCAGCAGTGAACTCTCACTGCCTAGGTATAAAGCCACACCACACTGACTTCAGCCATGCTCACTACCAGAACAAGCAGCATGAGAAGCCAAGAGCAGGAAGTACTCTATTGCTGCGCTCACTTTTTATTCACAAACTGGACTACGATAGGTGGTTTTCCTGGCTTACACTCCTCTTTGATCATGGCGTTGCCGTGTTTTGCTAGTAAGTGAAATCTCAAGGTCTAATTTTCCATAAAACTGCTGGACAACACCATCTCCCTTCCCTGGTGTAAATCATCTCCCAGGGCATGCTGCTACAGAAAACAGTTCCCTTTTTGTCAGTGACATCTAGTGGTGAGCGCATGCAGGAGAGGAGAAAAAATGATCGCTTCACAGCAGTTACACAGGGAGAAAGATTGATCCTTTCTCCCTCCAAAACAAACGGTTCATCCAACCTTCTCTTGTAAGTTGCAGTGCACAAGTCCATACAAGCTCAGGGACACAGCAGCTTGCCTTGTGCCCAAGTCAGAGGGGCTACTCTCCTAACAGAGCCTGTGACAAGCAGCAGAAGTGTTTTACGTCCTTTCCCCCGCCCTCAGGTGAGGAACAGAGATCCCCATGCTTCCCTTCGAACCTCCTCCTCTCCTGAGCACGCAGCCTCCTGTGATCCACAGCCTGGCTTGCTGTGGCCCAGCAGCATCATCCCAGCTCAGACTGCTGAGGAAATTGTTAAGTTCCAGGAAGAAGCTGTGGTAAGTCCACACCGTAGAAGCATGCAAGAGAAGGCACATGTAACTACAGAGGTAGGTTTGTTGAGAGGGGGACGGACAGCAGCTCAAGGGTTCACGAGGAAAGGCACTGCCATGGAAAGATCACTCAGGGGGAAACAGAGTCAGCAGATGGCAGCGCAGTACCTCACAGGTCCATCCTGGGGCCAGCCCTGCCCATGCCAACAGCCAGCTGCTCAGCTAGAAAACAGTGTGGGGAGTACACTAAGGCTTAGCCTAGTAGCTATTTATATATTCACTCCTTTTTGTGTGCTAACCAAATAAAGGCGTTCGATATATCCCATCTGCAGACTGACCACAGAAAAAGAACCATGAAGAGAACCCCACAGGAACAGAGACAGCAACACCCTGAAATGAAGCAGGAATTACGGTTGTCTGACAGGCTCAGCACCGGGCAGATCAAGCTCACTGGCCCATCTCAGGGCAGCAGCAAGTGACACAGAAGGCCTTGCAGCAGTGTGTGTTACCACTCCGCCTGCAGCTTTGCTCCCTGTCGTGACATACCAGCCCAACTCACGCCGGCATTTCAGCAGACATACCCGGGGCAGACACAGTAACAGGATTTGTCTTTAGACACTGGACGGTGAATCGCGGGGCAGAGATGTGCATTCAGATCTGAATGGTGGCTGAGGAAGTAATTCTTCCTTAGACTGAAAATAACAGGTTACCGTTGCAGCATTTGCTGGGTGAACAAGTCACGAATAGCCAGTAACTATATCCAACACACCTCCAAGTATGTTCTTTTTTGGGGACAGGTTCTCCAATAGTTCATATCTTACTCTCCCTCTAACTAGACCCTACAGATTCAAATCCAGCAGGTAACATTTCTATATCAACTCAACTGATCAGTGACAAAGATGCGACAGTTCTATACTTGCTGTAACAGCAGTACCTTCGCTTTCTTCATGTGGCTCATGATACTGCCGAGATCTTCGACATCAATGACTGAATTTGTGCCTCCAGCTTCCTCAGCATCAGCCTCCTCCTCACTACTGGTTTCAAACAGCTCCTCCGCCTGTGTAAGAGATCAGAGAGGAAAAAAAATTACGGAGTGTACCTGAATGTTAAACATAAGACCTTCCTCTATGCCAAACCAGTGAAATCAGCTCTCGCAAACAGTAATGACTAATGAAAAAACACAGAAGTCTACCAATAACCTGTATAGTGTATACGAGATGCATTTAAACTTGGGGCTTTTATCATCAGCATGCATTTTTAAGAGTTCACTGCCTGAAGCTCACTCCAGATAGCCTGCCTCCAGACTGCTCCATTTTCCTCATGTGCTTATCTGATCACCCGAGAAGCAATACAGAGGAATCCAGCTCCCACTTCATACTATGACGATGCAGAAACCTAAACCCCTTTAACTCCTTCAGGTGCCCTTGTCCGAATGCACAGGGAACAAGAGATCTGCTTTCCAAGTCAAACTCTTCCCAGAGCAGAAAAGCTGTCTCCCTTTCTGTAAACAGCACAACAGCATTGATGTAACAGCAAGATTTATTTTTGTTGTTCCTGCAGCAGCCAGCACTCTCAAACCCACTCAGCCAGAAAAGCCCCTATTTTCCTACAAAATTCAACATGGCCAAAGCAATCCCTTCCAACCTGGCTTGCAGTCTATAGCAGCTCTGGGTCTTGCACTGTAGAGCAAGAAGATTTCTTATTCAAAACCTGCAATCAACAAACATGCCAGAAGAGACACAAATGATTAGAGGCAGACACATTCAGAGGAAATACAGGACTTTCTCAGACAACACTTGCCCAACTGCCTTTAGAAAAACCTTGGGATGCAGTCAAAGCACCTAAGCTTCAACAAGCTGAAGTGGAACCAGGTTAACTGCTCACAGGGAACTAAATGCTTCACTTGGCCATGAGACAAACCAACAACTCTGATGAGAACCCAGACTGGCTCTGGAGCATCTGTCACAACATACAACTCCCTCTATTCAAGAGGAAGGCTTCATATCAATGCCATCTAGCCTAGGTCCATCACTAATCCTTTGGTCCTCCTTTTTGGGTGACTTATTCTACTTGTTATCTGCCATTGAATCTCATCCCTCTTCCCCCTCTGCTCCAGAACAAAGAGGTATCAAACTCCCACAGGTCTCTTCCAGGCTGTAGGAGGAAGAAGTCAAATAGTGCCTCAAAGGGCACTAAAGCAGAAATATGGTCCCACAGATTTTGGCTCTACCTCAGCATCCTCATATTCTGATGCCTCATGTTCATGATCCAAGTTCTCCTTGCTCTGCTTCACCGGAGATTTGCACTTCCCCTTCTTGCACTTCCCGCTGCAGGGCTTCTTTTCCCCTCTGCAGAGCGCCTGGAGTCGACTGAGGAACTTGGCTTTCCAGGCTTCAAAGTCAGCCTCAATGCTGCCATACTTGCTTTGGGCCACGTTGCAGTCGCCCTCGGCACGAGTCATGATACGGCTGGCACCGAGCATCCACAGCCACCTGTCTGTATTTCTTCCAACCTAGGACAGGATGAAAGTTAGAGGGAAATTAAGTGAAGCCTGAGTTGAACAAAGCAGGCAACTAAGAAAGCAAGGACCAAGCCTGGAAACAGAGCCAGTGAGCTGCACAGGACTGCGAGGCAGGGACTTCAGGACGCCCTCTCACCTGCTGGCTCAAAGCACAGACAGGAGGCAGTCTGAACACCACCAACACCACCACACCCCCTCAGGCTGCCATTTGAAAATACTTCTGCCATCACACTGCTGCGGTAAGAAATGAGCTCTGGGAACAAGCTTCTTTGTGTGACGCTTGTCGGTCGAAACGGCGCAACATGCGCAACGCCTTCCATGTGGCCCCAGCTACACAAACATAACCTGGCAACGAGTCATGCCATCTGAGAAGAAACTAATCATCAGCCTAGGATACCATCATATTTTACAACAGGAAATAAAGCTAAAAGCCACACAATACAGCAAAGTACTTAACTCCGAGAAAAATGCTCCAAACAGCAAGTGAGAGGGTTTACAGACTGTGCCCTCATGCACCAACAGAACACTTTCAAACCTGGGAAGTTAACTCAGTAAGGATTTACTTAGATTAAGTAATGCAGCGTTTATGGGACACCATTCCCATTTAAAAGGGCAGCACAATTCCTTCAAAACTGCATTGCCCATGCCCTGAACCCAGTCCCTAATCAAGTCCACACAACAGTTGCTGTTCTCACATAAGCTATCAGTATCGTTCAGTCTCGTAGCATTCAAGCAAGCTTAGTCTTTCAGAGGAGCAGAAATCAAAGAAAGGTGCACCGGAGATACTTACTGTGTTGTAATGATCAACGTAAACAGAGTTTCCCAAGCCAAACACTGCATATCTCAGGCCTTTCAGGTACGTTTTCCCAAAGCGGAAGTCATTCGCAGCCTCTTCTAACCACTTGCAGAACCATGCTGCACTCTCAGTTGGCTGCCCATCCGTGTACGTAGCTACCAGGAACACACAAATGTTCCTGCTGGTTGTCTAATGATATAAACAGAACAGAATAGAACAGATCACTGCACTTCTCTGAACACTTTACATCAGGAAGAGAGCTGTAACACATGGGCAGTTGGAAGAAGTCAAAAGATGAGATTTTTTGCTAAGTGGATTAATAGTCTTTGCTCTGGGATGCTGCAGGTGATAATCCCAACGGTGGTGAACGGCCATCCTCCCTGCAAAGCCATCTTAAATCAGCCAAGAGAGATCAAGATGTCTTTCCCCTACTTAACAGAGAAACAGCGTCAAAACAGAACTGGACATCCTCCTTCTCCACCCAATCAACAGCTTCTTGAAGAGACTTGCAGCAATAAAGTCTCCACAGATTCAAAAAGCAACTATCAATATTCACAGAAGAAGCAGCCATCAAGGATTACTCAATATAAACATGCCTCATGTTACATATAAACTAAATATAAACTAAAAAGTTTCTAACTTGTAAGTCCATAAGGCTGCAGAAGTATCACCTTCTGCTTATTCTGGTTTTGAACGCTTCCCCAGGCCCACACTGTCAGAGACAGAACAGGGGGACCTGGTGCAGCCGCTCTCACCTAACTCGCACCTGAGCTACAGAACTAGCTCATATAAAGTCACTGTCAGCATCAACATATTCTACGTGATCCTTTCCTAGTAATTGTCAAAATTCAGATATTTTCTGCTGACAGTTGATGCGCTATACTTGCTTACATAGAAGGGAAGCAATTTTCAACATACAGCCTTAGGGACTTCCAGGAAAACAAGAGTGGAATACAAGAGGCAAACAGTCTTCACAATCCTGGGAAAATCTGGTATTTGATTATATTCATGACACACCTACCTCCTCTGATAAACAATCATCTGGATCATAGTCTCCCATGCTAATGACTTCCACAGGCAAATTAAGGGAAATAACTCCTTCAGCCAGACCTTTGGCAAATCTCTGAAAAAAAGACACACATACAAAGTTATCAATTACTTCAACCCAACTATCATAAGGGTCAAATAAGCCCTGCAATGCCCAGTCACAAGACTTCTCCCAGCACAGAAAGAACCATGACACATGAGAACTGGACACTGGACCTGGAATCCCTCACATTTAAAAAACAATGAAGTATACTGGCTGAAAGAAGAGTTACATGAGTTTTAATGACTAATTATTTGATATTTACACACAGAAATTTAATTTCTTTCTGAGAAAGCACCTAAAACAGTACTTCCTAAGAAGACCTGATAGCAAATTAAGAGTATATTGTAAGAGTAAACTTTAAGCTGCAAAATCAATGTCTCTTACTGCATGCCCCACTTTAAGGGATTAGAAAAATTGTTGGGTTTTACATCATTTTCACTTACCTTTCATGTTGGGCAATGACTTCTAATGAGCTAATGAACTTTCTGATGAACTTTCAGATTTTTACACAATGCAGTGTTTCTAAACCAAGCAACATACTTTAATCTCAACAATATTTCAAATCAACTTCATGTGTGTA